TATTTCATTGATGTGTTAAAACTTACTATCATTTATTAATTAGTTGATTTAAGAACATAAGTTACAACTGAATACATTTATCTCCACTAAGGGGTTGTTTATCCGGGTAAGCGCTTATCAAATCACACTACCTCACCCGATGAATATGGTAAAGACCAATAATTTTATCCGGCAAGAGCAAAACAAGGACCAAGAGTCTTACCCGATAAGTGAGGGCAACGACTCTTACCATGATAAGTGCTTACAAGGTAAATTATTGCATAAGATGTCGTTTTGGTGGACCAAAATCTTACCCGGTAAGTAAATAATATTATTAAATATTACCGATAAACACTTATCGGGTAAGTATTTGGTAAATGACCCCTAACTTTTTTATTTTGGAGATTACAATATTAATTATATTATTAAAATATTTCATATATCTAATAAAATGCTAATTATTTCTCTTAAATATTTAACTTCAAGGTTTCTTATAGGTGATAATATAATAAAAAAGTTATTTTCTCTCAAGGTAATCATTCTTGGGAAGTTCTTTGAATTTGAAGGATTTCACACATTTTCTTATATTGCTTCATTTTAGAAAAGTTAAAAAGAAACCGTTGAAGCAAAAAACTTGTCCAAAATCCCAAATTCTCCATTTTCGAGAATCTATTGGAGAGACTTTTAGGATCTGTTTGTTAATGATTTAATGAGTTTCTGAAACTTACAATTTATTCGGATAACTATACGTAACTGTTTGCTAAATTTTCTATTTACAGAATTAGATTCTCTTTAATTAAGAATTACGGGGTTCATCATTCGAGGGGGCAAAGCTTTTGATGTACAGGCGCAAGTGGTTTTGTGGTCCTCTGCAAACTCTAGCATATGATACCAAATTATTTTAGTAACTTAATGATATAGAAAATGGTTTATTCAGTAAACTTATAAAGAAAAAACACTCTCTTTTTATATATGAAAAAAATACTGTCTGTAAAACATATTAGTCATTGTAGACATCTTTATTCATATATGATTGATGATGCCATGTGGGTGAAAGAATAATGATAAAGAGGAATATTTAAGATAAAATTAGGTTAAATAGTGTGAATGTAGAGAGAAGATGAATATGATTAGGCATGGATTTAGTGGTCAAATTGATGACCAAAGGTTACATCAAAGGGAACACAAAATGACCCTTTATTCTATTTTCGAATTTATTGATGTTGACAATAAATGGAGACAAAGGAACACTATATGTCTATTGCTTTTTCCTCCTCTATCTCTACATTTTCACTTACCCTTTCTTTTTTATATAAATAATTTCTAAATGTTGCCGCCTTAATCTTATTGATTGTGTCACTAGAAAACTTGTGAATTAATTACGTTCGATTTTGGATAATCATGATTATGTTAATGGTTTCATATCGGTTTGTAGGTCAATTACGAAAACTAATTAAAAATGATCATTTTTTTCTCAAAACATCCAAACATTAAAATTAGTACGAATTTGAGAAGTATGAACAAAAACTCAAAATGGTCAAAATCCTAAGTGTCATGCGGCTTTTTTAAAAGCTTAAATACTTTTTTCCTTTGTTCCAAAGGGATGGAATTTGTTTTCTTTTTGTCGTTTTTTATTCATTTAATTATTTATTTATTTTTCAATTATCGAAACATGTTTGTAACTCTTTATCTTTATTAAATTTACATTATATTTTCAAAATAAAATTCATGAGTCCTTTGAACCTTTATAAATCTTCAATAACATACAGTCTGATCGATTTAAATCTTCCTAAAATAAATGTTCATAATAAAGATAGACACATAATTTTAAAAACATGTAATCGTTGTATTTTTTAATTAATTAAATAATTTTTTTTACCATTAATAATAGAAAGATTCTACATCAATATAGACATTTAAAAAAATAAATAAAAAAGTAGTAACTTATTTTGAAATACTAGAAGAGTACTCGAGCAATGCAGCGATACACATCTCGATTTTAATGTTTTATTTTTTTATTTGTATCCGTCGATGTTATAAAAACGATTTTATGTGTTTTCAAGAAAACAATAATGATTTTATTTTTGAATACAATATAAATTTGAAGATATCATAAAAATTTGAAAAAAATATATCAATATTAATATCAAATCAACTATTTAAAAGTTCTCATTT